AAGAAAATAATAATATCGGCTTCTTTTATGAAATTACATAGAAGATCCAATTACTTTCATCCTTACAAAACTCTATCATATAATTTTACCCCACAATGTAATACTGGTTCTTTAATAACCAATATAAATTTTACTTTTAGCAAATTTTAAATATAAAATTTAAATAGTTCTAGATAATAAACTATTTTAAGATGTAATTTATGTAAAACGTTAAAAACTTTATTTTCAAAAAATGTTTAATNTTATGTAAAACGTTAAAAACTTTATTTTCAAAAAATGTTTAATATAAATTATCATCAATAAATTATTTTATTATTTTTTGTAATTTAATATACTTTGAAGTTACTTTTAAAAATTTAATAATTAATATGCCCAGAAATATGATAAATATAACAAATTCTGATTTATATGCCAGTGTGATAAATATATTTTGCTAAAAAAAAATTCATGAAAATATGTTTAAATTTTTTTTTTANTCGATTTATTTTTTAATTAATTAAATATTTATTAATATTTTTATTTATTTAATTAAGCTATATAAATAGTATTTTTATAGTTCATGTTGCGGCCTATGTTATATAGAACGGCCGCTAGAATAAATGGCGTTTATCGCCTATTGTATTTGTTATCTTGGACTAGTACACCACAATGCACCTAGATGTTCGGTGCGTTACTCGATATATACAGAGTGATTGAAATCTGGTAGTACACATTTTCTCAGAAAATATTGAGAATTTTTAATTTTATTATAGAAAAAAAATATCAAGTTCAAAAAACTTTACAATAATATGTAGTCAAACCATTATTTTTTTCATCCCTTCAAGGATAAAAACCCTTATTTATAATTTTCTTAATTGGGAACCCTTATTTTTACCTTTATAATATGATAGAAAAAAAAAATTACAAACAATTTTGTTCTTATAATTTTTTTTATTTGATTAACGGTTCGTCCGTTACAGCTTGTTAAAGTTATGTGATTTTAGGCCAAATTTCTATTGTCATTTTACTGTATTAAATACAGAAGTCATTATTTTTATTTGCTGTTGCATAAACAATATTTTATTGATCAAGTTATGACAGGTAAATTAGCTATAAAAATTTACTACGCACTAAATGAGTGATAACAATAATAGATTCAAATCGGGTTTTCGGTGTATTATTAATAGCTAAGTCTATAGTTTTGTAAGAATAAAGGATCTAAAATAAATATAATTTAAAAAAACTAAAAAACACTCTTTTAAAGCACATTAAACTAAAAAGTTAAAAATAATTTTTAAAATAATTATGAACAAAAAAAATACTAGTATTATTGCACTTTCACCGATATTATGAAACGTAATAAATGACAATATTTTTTCTGGAAGTCAAAATCTTCAACAATTATAAAACGTAAACGGTTGTTCGGATAAAAAAAATTATAAGAACACAATTGTTTGTAATTTTTTTTTCTATCATATTATCAAATCAAAAATAGTGGTTCCCATTAAAAAAAATTATAAATAAACATTTTTATCCCTGAATATATTCAAGAATAATAAAATGTTGTATGATATAATAATGAATACAACAACTGATTATACTATCCGTAAGGTTGTCTTAAAGACCCCTAGATAGGAGAATAATTGAATGTTTTATTAATTTTCATAGTAATCAATACAACAATTGAGTCAATTATCCGTAAGGTCAGCTCAAAGGACCCTAACTAGACAAAGACTAATATATTCATTTATTGGTTTATACAAACAAAAAAATCGAATCTCTAAAAATATTTGCCGACTTATTTAAAATGAAATTAAACTTCATTACTCAGTTGTATCAGACCAAAAATCATTTGTACATTTTAATACAAATAATTACACTAAAATTGANCTGTGCGTACGAATAATTTTAATTAATTTAATATTATTCCCGCTCACCCCTCAACAGTTCTATAAAACCAAATATTTGGTTTTTATTAAGATTAATTCGTTTTAATGCAAAGATATTACTAGGTTACTTATTTAAAAGTTATTGAGCAGAATTAATATAAAAAATTATTAAATCTACAAATTAAGTCTTGATTATTATTTAAACAAAATGTGAAAACAGCTATATAAAAATAATAAAAAGATTTTTCAGTAGTTTAAATTTTATTCCTCAAAAGAAATTATAAATCCTTTAATAATACAATACACGTATTTTTTTAGATACAGCAACAACTGAAATTTATTCTTTTTTATATTTACTTAAGTTGCAAAAAAAATAGCATGAATGTATTTTTTTATCAATAATTTTTATTAAATCTGTCGAAGTATTTTTTAGAGAAACAAAAAATAGAACATATTCAAGAATAATAAAATGTTGTATGATATAATAATGAATACAACAACTGATTATACTATCCGTAAGGTTGTCTTAAAGACCCCTAGATAGGAGAATAATTGAATGTTTTATTAATTTTCATAGTAATCAATACAACAATTGAGTCAATTATCCGTAAGGTCAGCTCAAAGGACCCTAACTAGACAAAGACTAATATATTCATTTATTGGTTTATACAAACAAAAAAATCGAATCTCTAAAAATATTTGCCGACTTATTTAAAATGAAATTAAACTTCATTACTCAGTTGTATCAGACCAAAAATCATTTGTACATTTTAATACAAATAATTACACTAAAATTGAAATATACCTTCTAAAATAATCAATGAACTTAGTGTAATTTATGTAAAACGTGCTATAAAATATTTTTGTACCTCAATTTAATTTAATATGGTACATTAATATCTAAATATCTATATATCTATTAATATTTCATCATAGTCACTTAATCATGTTTTCATAATGATTAATATTGAATGGCATTATTTAAAAAGGTAATTTTGTACAAATAAGGAACTTGTTATATATTTAAGGAACAATAGAAATGTTTAATATTACTTTGAAATGAATCAAAGTAATATTAATTCAAGACATAACATTAATAGATTTATACATTATTTAACAAATGTATATAATGTATGATATATATCTATTAATATTTCATTACGAAAATTTTACAAGTAATATTAAACATTAAAAGGTATAGGTTTTAATCATGCGTAAAATATTAAAAAAAGTATGTATTAGTTCTGCTTATCGTTTTTTCAAAATAACAATTTTGTATTATAGCTATTAAATTGTAATTTTATTTATTTAGTTTAAAAATATATATTACATTTTCATATAATTTATGTATGTGTTATGACTTTTAAAAGTTAAAACCTTCGAAAGGGAAAAAATAAAATATGTAAATAATACAGGTGATCGAAATCTGGTAAAACACTCATTTTATCAAAAACTATTTAGAATTTTAAATTTTTTTTAAGAGAAAACTATCAAGTTCAAAAATTTCTACATTAATATGTAGTGAAATCATTTAATTTTTTTGTCCCTTCGGGGATAAAATACTTATTAATAATTTTCTTAAATGGGAACTCTTATTATATTTATTTGCTGTTGTATAAAACAATTTTTATTGATGAAGTTATGATAGGTAAATTAGATATAAAAAATAGTGACGCACTAAATAGTGAAAACAATAATAGATTTAAATCGTGTTTTCGGTGTATTATTAATAGCAAAGTATAAAGAATGTAAGACTTACAAATAAAAATAATGATTTCTGTATTTAATACAGTAAAATAACAATAGGAACTTAACTTTAATAAGCTGTAACGGACGAACTGTTAATCGGAAAAAAAAATTTTAAAACAATGTTGCTTGTAATTTTTTTTCTATCATATTATAAAATTAAAAATAAATAATATTAAATCGTCTTTTATTTATCACTCAAAAAATAACGACATTTCTGAATTTCAATTCGGCTTTAGAGCAAAACGTATAACTATTCATCAAGTACACCGTGTGGCTGATACAATTTCAACAGCACTAGAAACAAAGCAATACTGTGCCAAAGTCTTTCTTGATGCGACCTAAGCTTTTGACTTTGTTTGGCATGAAGGACTTCTATTCAAATTAAAAAACATTTTCTCAGCTCCTTATTACCTCATACTCAAATCATATCTGCTACACCGTTATTTCAAAGTCCGTCATAATCTCCAACACTTCCCACTATACCCAATATATGCTGGTGTGCCTCAAGGAAGCGATATTGCACCATTATTGTGCACAGTATATACATCTGATCTAACTTTATCGGATACAACAGTACTTGGTACCTATGCTGATGACACAGCATTATTATTATTCATTTAACTGAGGTTAAATACCTAGGGTAAATCTTTGACCGAAGGTTAACTTGGGGTCCTCATTTAAAAGATAAAAGGAAGAAACTAAACTCGATACTTCATTTACAAAGACCTTTGCTTAAATCAAATATTTCTTTGTCAAATAAAATTATATTGTACAAAACATTACTTCAACCACTATGATCTTATTGGATAATAATTTGGCGATCAGCAAAAAGTTCTAACCAGAGAACAATCTAAAATTTTCAAAACATCTGCTTAAGAATCATAACCGGGGTGCCCTGATATATCACAAACATAGCTCTACACTTGGAACTACATCACATCACAAATAAAGAAATGGCAAAAATGTATTATAAGAGATTCTGGATGAAACTTGAATGCAACCCCAACAGACTAATACAAATGCTGAGCGCAAACGCCTTGCCTGGCATCCAGTAAGGCGTCTCAAGAGAGAATGGTGCAGAGATCTATTATTATTTTAAATTATTTAATCTTGTTAATGTTACGCATTTCAACTTCTAATTATTGTACAAACTACTATACCATTATACGTATAGTGTTATTACTATTATGGTCAATATAATGCAATTAATTTAAATATTAATTTTCAATAGCAGGCGACTTCAATGAGAGCGACCTCACAGGCTACTCATATTAAGTATTGTTTATATGTATATTTTTTAAACTATTTACTTATTGTAAAATTTTTATTTTGCAGATTGTAAATTTCATAAATAAAAAAATTATAAAAAAAAATTAATCAAAGTAATATTAATTAAAGAAATAACATTAATAGATTTATTCATTGTTTTACAAATTTACACACAATGTATCTTTAGTACCAATGTGCCATAATGAACACGGTTTATTCTGAATCCAATTCATTGTTTTTTAATGTTATACACAATTTATTTGTTTTTTTTTGCTTACATTTTGAACACTTTTCGTGCTTAATGCAATTTTCACAATACCAACCATGACCACATGGTATCATTATGTAACTCTTTGACAGTTCATCATCATCATTATCATCTGTTACTTGACTGCGACACTTTATACAACGCGCTTCTCGTTCATCTAAGATACATCTTGCCTGCAACGGCACATATTCTAAATACAAATATTGAAAATTAGTTCCTTTCCTAGTAAAATAGTTTAAAGGAGTTTATGATAAAATTTTAAGGGGAATATTTTTTGCACATCAATAATCGTATTAAGAAAACTAAAAGTTTTAAAAATAAGTTTTTAACTATAATAACTATTATATTTAAAAAATTAATAAGACGTTACTTTAAAATATAAATATGTATTACATTATTTATTTAATTTTCACATAAAATTGTAATTTTATCACATCAGATTATATAGAGAATAGAAATAATTTTTTTTTTGGATGTAATTTTTAATTTCTCTACTGAATATTTAATATATATTGGAATGGAAAATTATATAAAATGGGAAGAAATCGACTTCATACCTTAAGGTATGTTAACAAAATATTTTTATAACCAGCCACTCTAAATAGCCTTTTTTAAACTCTTTTCTTACAAATGATGTTGATACTTCCATGATAATATTAGGAAATGTTCGCACCAAATGTGAGAGCTGCACTGGTTGGGTGTGGTCAGCTATTAGGACGCCTTATCAGCGGCCCGTGTTGGTTCAGTCGGTTTTTTATTCAAAATGTATTGTATATACCTGTTGTTATTATTATACAGTTTAGTTTTAAGTTACATTGGTTTTCATTTGAATTAATTGTTGTTTTGGTATTAATCAGTAAAAACTTTGCTCAATTTTCGTTTTAAAATATATTGTTCATATTATTATTGTAAATTCGTATAGTTGTATTCTGTTTTATTTTTTATTGGTTATAACATTATTACAATAAAGCTACAGGTGGCATATCACCTTTATAAATGGTAGTTCATTTTATTCAATTTATTCAAACAAAATTAAAAACTGAATATGAGTAATATGGGTGTTTATATNTATCACCTTTATAAATGGTAGTTCATTTTATTCAATTTATTCAAACAAAATTAAAAACTGAATATGAGTAATATGGGTGTTTACATTTGTTAATTATTTAATTCATCAATAATAAAAATTAATGTTGTTATTTAAATTATTTCTTTTTATTTATTAAGTTAACCAATCCTATTTTGGATAAACAAAAAATATTTTGTATTTAACAAATTCTAAATTGTATAGGAAATTTTTGTTGATTATTAGTTGCCCCTATATTAAGCCGTACGGCCAAGTTCTGTTCCCCATTTATAATTGGGATTTTTTAGAACAGCCCAGGCGGCTGTTAGTACAGCTATTCAACAATTCAAATTCATAAAATGTTATGTTTATATCAGTGAATTTTAGTTTTATATATATTTTGAGCATAAAAACAAGAAGGCAATATCTGTTGCAAGAAAAAATTGTTTAGCGAAATAGTTATTACATTTGTTATATCAACTTGACTGACACATTTCATAGACAATAAATGAAAAAAAAAATATCTTTCTTTACATCAATTTTTTTTAAAACATCTACCTTCATACTCTTCTATTATGAATAAGACATAAAATTTCAAATAATTTTTATTCGTAATCTATTTCTTTACCTATTGAAAAAACAAAAAATTTTATATGATTATAAATTGATTTCTGCTAAATTTAAAACTAAAAGTCTTAAAACAACAATAATTTATCGTCCTTCAGAAATCTTAAAAATACTATTTAAAATAAACATATGATTTTATTTNCTTCAGAAATGTTAAAAATACTATTTAAAATAAACATAATTTTAATTAAAATTATTTTCGAAAAATTTGTTACTGATAATATTTAGAAATATTTCCATTAAAATTTCCTAAACTGCTTACTAAGTAAAGTTTTCAGTTAAGTGTAAAGTAATTAGTTTTCTAAAGAGGGAGGTAAAGGGGCTTTTTATCACCAACAATTTGCTAATTATTATCATTGAAAGTATATAACTTTAACGTTAGTAAGACTATGTGATAAACAAAAAAAAATGTTTCTTAGACCACTGAAGCTAATGTACCAAACATAAAATCCAATATAAAAAAACGCTTCTAATATTTTATTTCATTAATATTTCAATAAGTAATTATAATATATATACTTTCAGTAACTATTGACACAGATGTTTGTATATCTAGTTCTTGAGTACTTCTAATCTTTTGAAAACATACCGGACATTTTGACAATTTGCCTCTACGAAATTTGTTAATACAAAGTTCACAACACCAGCCGTGTCCACATGGTGACAAAATGTAAATTTCATTAGTGGTACCAGTGTTTTCTTCCTTACAGCTTGTACAAGAGGTTTGATCTACAGAAAAAAAAAAAGAAACAATTGTTAAATACTTTTATCGGTAATAATTTCTAAAAGTTAAATTTTAATCTTCAGTTGAAAAGCATTTTAAGTATTTTTTTAACGCTTTTAAAACTAATTAAAAACTATAGCAGACAACTTTGAAGAGTAGATTCTCAAACGTATTTTTTTACCAATTACATAATTATAGTATAATTTGTGATTTTGAAAACTAAAAAAAAACTTTCTTTCTTACATAAATCTCCAGTTATATCTTTGTAAGTAGGACCACTTTTTAAAGTCAAATGACCACTAATAACTCGATTACTCATATCTTGGTATTGTTTTAATTGATTTACAGTCAATTCATTCATTGTTACTTTTTTAGGTTCTTTTAAAAAGTGCACTTTATCTTTCATTAACTCCATGCAGCTTAATAAAGCATTTCTGTAATTTGTGTTTACTTCATTAAATTTGTATTCCTCAGATTTGTGACTATTGTAAACATCTAAAATACATTCATACGGATCAGGAGAAATCCATTCTCTATTAATTATCGGTATAAGTTCAGCAAGTGTATCACTTAATACTTTTAAGTAAAATGATATTTCAGAATGTTTTTTATTCATTTCTATTGCAAACTCGCAGAACCGATACATGTATGTAATGGCCATACTTTCAATAGCGTTCAAAAAAATTGTATAAGCTAATTTATATTTTTTTTCTATCACACAGATATAAACCACATCCTGCAAACTTCTATTTATTATATTTATACCTTCAAAAGAAATGTCATGATAATCTACTAAGTGACTGTAAGGTACTGGACAAAAGTTATCCTCATTGCGTGATTTTATATAATAAGGATGATCCATAAGCTTGACAAATTTCATATCTTTGTATTCCATTTCAAGAGTCTGTATGTCCTCACGTGTAATGTTATTTAGATCAACACAAATTGATTGGTTGATTGTCTGAATAAAAAAAAATACTAATTTCAATTTATTGAGAAACATATTATTCTAATAGAATATTTAACACAATTTTTAAATTTCAAAATATTTTATCAATTATAATTAAACAGTTTTGAAATAAACGTATATACTAACTAAAAAAATTGAATTAACAGAATAACTTTAACAAGAGTATTTATAAGCTCTTACAAGTGTATTTTAAATACATGATCAAAAATAAACTTTTACTGTGTACTTTAATAGTATATGAACAATTGTAATTTAAAATATAATTTATTAATTATTTATACACGCAAAAATACGAATTTTCTTTAATGAAATGATTGATTGAAAAAAGCAAATGATCATTAAATTAAAAATAAAATATTATTTTACTTATGTACCTAATTTAAACAGTTTATTTTGTCTTAACTGATTTGATACCAATCTAATTTAAAATCTAATGAAATTTGTAATTATTAAAGAAAAATAACTTTATTTTTAATATAATTTTATAAACTATATTTTGACATATAAAAAACTGTTTGTATATTATATGAATTATATCGGTACGACATTGATAAACAGATACATATATAATTCAATCAAAGAAAGTGCGACGAGTTGACATTTAAGTTTGGCAGGAGATGACTCCCTTTTAATTAGGTTATACATATTTAGTTATTTTTTAGGAATATTTGAATTAAACAATAGAATTTTAACATTCCCGTTAAAAAAGTATTAGAAATTGACTTTTTAAAATTAATTAATAATCATTTTTAAATAATGAACTTTTTATCAATTGTTTTAAATATATCAAGAAGTTTTCTAAAAAATTGTATGGTGAATAATTTCTTTGAGATTTAATTAGAGCTTAAGTATGACAACTTGTCCTTGTCTCCTCTAATTGTGTGTAAATAAAAAGTAACACAATTTATGCATTGAAGCAAACGCAAATGAATTTATTTAAGAATTTACATTAAATTCGTTTAGTAAACTAAATTTAGATTTCAAACTATTATTTATATAATTTATGTTTTAAGAAAGCTTTACAAATAATAGTTTTAATTGTTTTAAATAACCTCGGTCAAAAATATTTTTTAGAACGAGTCCATATTAAAAATATGTTATATATTGGAAAACAGTTTATGTATTAACTTTTTAATATTTAAATTTTTATAATTAGTAAATCATTTTAATTTATTTTGTTTTATTTATGATAATTTTGCTTTTTAAAAATAATTTCGTTAAAAAAAAAATGTTTATATTATTCAATAATATTCCAAAAATTTACTTATTAGTTATACGGCTGAGAAAACTTTTTAGGATTAATAATTTCACATTTCTTATTGTCATAATTAAATAAAAATTTCAATATTTTTCTAATATTGATTTCCAGAAAAATGTCAGATTCAATACGAAACTGACAGTGATTCAAATCACTGTCATTTCATTTTGAACCTGTCTTGTGATACATAATTATGTGTTCTTTTTAAAAAGCAAATAAATGGTTAGTCATCTCATTTCTCTACCCAGAGTATGGTTCTTATATATGATCTTTCTACTTAACTCCTGAAATAGACACGTATCAATAATATAACTCTGTACAAACATTATTGATTTATTAAATTTATTTAGTATATTTTTCTATATTGATGATTATTTTTCTTTTTATGGTTTAAAATTAGATAAATTAAATAAGTTGTAAATTTATTTAGTTTTGAATAGTGTAGATGTTTTTGTTGATAAGAAAAATAGTTCAAAATGGACTATCTTTATCCAATATTGTATGTCAAATTGCTTTAATGCCAATAACATCCAGATATTGAAATAATTTTACTTTTTTCATCTAAAAGTACATTTAATTTTCTTTTATTTGATATAGATTTAAATAATTATATAAAAGAATTTTTGATATGTTAACATAAGCTAATGTTATTTATTATAATCAAAACAGTTCACAAAAATATGATTTAAAATTTTTCCATTCTTAAATTTATTTTTAATTAAGCACAATAATATCTAAAGGATCAATATAAATCAATTGAAAGATTTAATATTAAATCTTAATATTATCATGTGTCAAATATCAAAAAAAGTATTTTTTAGCTCTACTAATCGTTTTTTAAAAATAACAATTCTGTATTATAGCAATAAATTGTATTTTTATTTATTCAGTTTAAAAATTTGTATTAGAATTTCTTATAATTTATGTATATGTTTTGACTTTTAAAAGTTAAAAGGATCAAAAGGGAAAAAAATAAAACTATAAAACACTTAATAATTTAAATAAAAAAATTATAACTAAAACAGATTAGAATAATAATGAGAGAATCACAGTGATATATAGAATTAAATTATATAAAAGGTTTTTTTAAAGTTTCATAAAACCAAATTTTAGGTTATTATTAAGGTTAATTTGTTTTAATGTAATAATATTACCTTTGACAGTCAAATAGGCTTCGATTAGAGATATGGTCCCAACATAATTTTTTTAAGAGTACAATTTTCATTTTATATATTTTATAATCGGGAAATTTTATGTATAATATTTCAATTCAAAAGTTATTGAGCAGAATTAATATAAAAAAATGATTATTTCAACAAATATAGGAAATTAAATTTTAGATCTTTGTTATTATTAACAGATAAAAAAATTCGACAAGATATTATTCCAAAAGAAAACATTTATGCATATCTAATCTACTAAAAAACTTGATATACGAGTAGTATATACAAAATAATACAAATAAAAAAGCTCTAGTGTATGAAGTACAACTTCAATTATGATATTTAAAAGATTTTTCATCTCCTCCATGTCAAAATCATCTGATAGCCAATCGACGAGAGAAAGAGTGCGATCAAAAAATTTTAGAAATAAAAATAATATTATCGACTTCCTTACGCATATTTTTTTTTTTTAGAAATGATTTATACAGAGTAATTCCCTAACTATGCCTCACGTAAAATCTTAAAAAATTCAAGTGTTATAAACAATTTTTTTAGCTTCGATGCGAAGCTGAGAAGGTATTAATTTTACTAAGATTTGTTTTTTTTTATTTTTATTTATTTTTTTGTGTCTCTTACCGCATTTTCTCAGCTCTCACCGAACCGATTTCTTTCAATGATACGTCAAAAGACCACAAATTGTATCTAGTCGAAGACATTACCCTCAAAAATTAAAAAAAATTCCCTCGTTTCCCGTAAATGGGGTAAACCTCCAAAAAAATTACGAATTTAAAAATCGCTAATTTTTTCAATTTTTTCAATTTTTTTACTTAAAAGTGCCATAACTTTTTCAAAAATGAACATATCAATATAATTCTTTTTTATATAGATGCATATTATTATTACCTTTCATTTGGTATATTTTTTTCATAAATTTAACCCTTAACCTACCCACAAGAGGAGACTTAAAATGATAACTTTTTCAACTTAACTTTTGAAAATGTTCCGGAAGGTCTGACACTTTTATATATATCTTAAATCAAAGCTAATGATATGTACTTTATCATGAAAAAAAAAATTTCGGACTTTATTTTGTCTTCATGGTGAAAATAGCTACCAAATGGTTTTTTTTTGTGAAAACTCTCGATTTTATTTTTTATATTTTTAACTTTATAATGCTATAACTTATTGAAAAGTGTATGGATCAACATAATTTTTTAATGAGAAATAATATTTTTTAATAATCCCTTTTTCATTCGACATACTTTATCTTATTTAGGATATTAATAAGAAACTAGCAGATCATGTAGCTTTTGGAATAATCCACCATTTTTTTAAAATTAAACACTATCTAAAGATTTGCATCGAAGAGTCTTTTATCTTAGTGATTTTAATCACTGTCAGATATCATTATACTTGACCCAACTATGTCACCTCACCACTATGCCCCCTTCTGTGCTAGGTTTTATAATGTTTAAACTTCTTAACTTACTTTTAAAATTATTAAAATATTTAAATTCACTTATAAATGCTAATACATGACACTAGTATTAGTCGACATTTATCAATTCAAGTAGATTTTCACAGCTTACTTGTTTTTACTGTTAGTATCGGTCTACTATTAAGTCTTAGAAATGGAATTTTGTGATAGTCAAAAAACAGTTAGACTTAATCGATAAATGAAATCTTTTTAAGTTTATTAAATAATATAAATTTTGTATTATTATTAGTGAGTACAAAACATTTGTAGGTCTTATTCACTGTCCTCGATGAATAAGTGGTGTACTTTTCTTGAACTGATTGACGAGANGTACTTTTCTTGAGCTGATTGACGAGACTACTGAATGTGTAACGCAAACGGCTACAAAATAATTTGTGTTCAAATTGAAAATGAAACATTTTGCCAACTCTAACTATACATAAGCTAACGTTAATGTGATTTTACAAGTGTCTTGGCAAGTATACAAACTGAAAGTAATCCTTGGAAAAATTTCCCTTTAAATCATTCGGGTTTCTTAATTTGCAAACGACTTGTCATCGATTTATTTAACTAGTGAAGAAGATATGACAATGATTATTTGCATTCATGTGTAATTAGAACATAGATAAATAAAAGGCTATGGCAACATATGAATCTTTCTACTTTTAAAATTTAAATAAAATTCATTTTTTTTTCTCATAATACACCAAAAGGTTTAGTATGACACATGTTCATTATGCAATTAAAAAAAATACATTTGTTATTTATTATTTTTTAAAATTTTAATAAGAATTTCTTTTGATAAATATAGTGTCTAACATTTTTATTTAATCTAATATTTGAATACTATCCCATTTTTTTTAATTTAACTTCCTTGCTGACTTTAATTTAAAAAATTAAACACTATCTAAAGATTTGCATCGAAGCAACGGTATCAGTTTACAAAAGTATGTACACGTTAATTAATTGTTTTCTGATGGACATTTGATTGGCTACAGTTTGTTGATAGCAGTACTGTGTGCAGTGTGCTCAACCGGAACGCCGTACCGTCTGTAGGAAGTAATAATCATAATAGTTAACAGTAATCGCTACAATTGTCTTCGATGATGTTGCTTTTCCCTTTGAGATCAATGTCACGGAGCAACATAATGAGACCGACGTAATACATTTTATAATTAATTTCATTAAGAATCGTAGTAACGGTTACGGAATGTGAGACGGTATTAATTC